GGGGTTCTGACGCAATTCCAACAATTGCGGCTTGGGGAGTAGGGACGCGGGAAGCGCTCACAATTCTCAAGGGGGGGACGGAGCGTGCGTTTGCGTGCGCGTGTGCGTGTGCGTGTGCGTGTGCGTGTGCGTGTGCGTGTGCGTGTGCGTGTGCGTGTGCGTGTGCGTGTGCGTGTGCGTGTGCGTGTGTGTGTGTGTGTGTGTGTGTGTGTGTGTGTGTTGGTTTTCGGTGGCAGAGGTGGCATATGAGGCAATTTCGAGAAACTGGGTGTGAGTGTGGGAGTGGGTGTGGGTGTGGGTGTGAGTGTGGGTGTGGGGTGGAGGGGTGGTGGTGGTGGGGTGGCGCGCAATTTCAAGAAACTCTTCTGCAGCTCGGACATTGACGACGCTGGAGTTTCTCAAAAAATCCCAGCGGGGGATGGGGGGTTGGGCCTTGCAATCCCCCCCAGGAGACCAGGGGGCTCTGGCAATTTCTCTGGATACTTTGTAATGCGAGCAGAGTGCGCATGTGGAGATCAACGATGGGAGGCTGGGGGGTGGCACCGCAGTGGAACGGAGAGCCCCCCGCCGGGAAATCGGTTTCGGTTTCGTGTTCGTGTCGTGCGTGCGGGCGAGGCGAAGCTGCGTGGGCTCGCGAGAGGAACGATCCCGCCGTCGCTGGGGCGATTCGGAAGTAAAAGTCCGGCCCTCTGGTGGGCGCGCGGTGGCTTGGGGTGTCCCGCCGTGGTATCCCGCGTTGTCCCGATGGTGTTCCGCGGTGTGCCGCCGTGGTGTTCCGTCGTGGTGTCCCGTGGTGTCCCATGGTGTCCCGCGGTGTTCCAGTGGTGTCCCGCGACGTCCCGTTGTGTCCAGTGGTGTCCCGCGGTGTCCCCTGGTGTCCCGCCGTGGTGTCCCGATGGTGTCCCGATGGTGTCCAGTTGATTATTTCCCCTCCCCCCAGCCTCTTGATCACCCGAAGGGTGGTCGTCTTGGTAGGACCTCTATCAAGCAACTGCTCTCTTCGGAGCTTGGAGTGTTGCATTGCCGCAGCTGTGAGTCCGCAGCAGGTATCTGATTTACCACCTAGCCCTAGCGGCCTGACGCACACAAGCGAACTGGCAGATGGACGTGAGCTCGTGGCAGTTCATGCGCGCATCGGCGTTTCATGACCGTGTCTTGCTTCTCACTGGTTATCCACTTGATACCTTTCCCCTGTGATTTGCCCGCAGACCGTTCTGACTACATGGCGGAGCAGGATGGATGCCCTGGCTGCGAGCCCCTTGCCCGCATGGTTGCTTGGCTCTGGTCTTGCAGAGTTTCACGGCCCATTGTCAGAACCACCATGTCAATCAAACATGACATCTACACAGCAGTCGATCACGTGGAGCACCGAGCAGGGGGCTTGTCGTGTGATTGTGCCACACGAGTACCCTCTATGAGCTCGACAGCTGCTTGTTGTCTCAGACTCTGGCTGACGATTCTCTATAATTCGGATGGAGCGTGCCGCTGCGAATGTAGTCTGTCTTAGTTCTCGGGGTCCAGAGGGGCTTTTAGGCACTGGGTCCGCCAGGATGGACCGTAGTAGACCGGGAAGGGTCCAGGATTGATTTTCATTCCCTACCTAGGCTCTGCCTAGAAGTGTTCTTATTCTCTTAGCTTAAAGGGGCCGGGCAGTGGAACACGCCCCGGGCGGTTCCCCCAGTCCCCTGGGAGCGGTTCCCCCCAGTCCCCCGGGAGTTTTAGCTTTAGCTTTAGCTTAGCTTTAGCTTAGCTGTAGCTTAGCTTTAGCTTAGCGTTTCGCTTAGCTTTTAGCTTAGCGTTTAGCTTAGCTTTAGCTTAGCTTGAGCTTAGCTGTAGCTTAGCTGTAGCTTAGCTTTAGCTTTAGCTTAGCTGTAGCTTAGCTTTAGCTTAGCTTTAGCTTAGCTTTAGCTTAGCTGTAGCTTAGCTGTTGCTCAGCTTTAGCTCAGCTTTAGCTCAGCTGTTGCTCAGCTTTAGCTTAGCTTTAGCTTAGCTTTAGCTTAGTTTTAGCTTAGCTTTAACTTAACTTTAGCTTAGCTGTGGCTTATCTTTAGCTTTAGCTTAGCTTCAGCTTAGCTTCAGCTTAGCTTTAGCTTAGCTTTAGCTTAGCTTTAGCTTAGCTTTAGCTTAGCGTTACTGTTACTACTAATGCTGCTTTCTTAGGGGTTCCAACCCCTAGGTAGGGTCGCACTGTGATCATTTGATTTCGGTTGGGAGGTTCAGAGGAAACGTACACTAGTAACTTGCAATACCCTTCCTCGTTTCCGCCTCGGGATCCTTGCCACAACGCGCTTTTGGTGAGGCTCCATGGGACACCACTACTGTTATCCTTCTGTTCCCACAGCAAGGTTCGGGTGCTGCTGGAAGTGGTCCGGCCCGAGGTGGCAGGTCTGTCGCGCCAGGTTGGAGCCCCTGGACCCTCTGGGCCTCGTGAGTGGTGCGCTAGAGGCCATCTGGGCCTCCCCCGGGGATGCCGGGGACACCCTGGGCGAGGGACACCTTTGGCAACGCCCGACAGGTGCTGCCGTGTGCAGACGTTGCTCTCAAGGGCCCCGACCTCCGCGAGCCATGCGCGGGGGCGCTGCGTGTGCAGGCCCAAAGGGGGCTTGTTTTCTGCCACCACCATGGAGGGCGTCTTCCTCCTCCTCCTCCTCCTTCCCCCCTCTAACTTGCCCATCACACCAAGTTTGGTATCGAAGACGCCTAGTTCTGGCGAGTCATCGCCGCCCCCTGCTTAGGATACGCCTATGTGGCCAAACGTTTGGGCATTGGCCAAGCTGTTGGACCATGGATGTTCCCCGGCCGTTGTGGAAGCCCTTCGGGGAACACGTGGGGGAGGAGGAGGAGGATTAGGAGAGAGAGAGAGAGGAAAACGGATAAGGAGGAGAGGGAGGAGGAGGAGATCTCTTGGGAGCCTCCAGATTTATTCTTGGCGCCTCCTGGGAGCTTTCTTGGGTTCCCTTGGAGGCCTCAGGCCGTCTTGGGGCCCTATTGGGAGGCCGTCTTACGTACCTTGGGCCGTCATCGGGCCATCATGGAGGTCTTTTGGACTCTCTTGGGACGATCCTGGGCCCCCCTGGACCGTCTTGAGGCCTTCTTTGGTCGGTCTTACGGGCCTCTTGGGTCGTCATGAGGCTATCTTTGATGGGCGCTCTTGGGGCAATATTTGGGAAATCCTGGGCCGTCTTGGGCCGACGGCAGGCCGAAACAAAGCAATATCCGACATCTTTCAACAACCTTAAAACAAAGTCGTGGCTCTTTCGGGCCTTCCCGTATGTCCTCTTGGAGGCGTCGCAATGTAAGAGGCGTCTCCAGGGTTTTTCCGGCCGTCTTGGGCCAGAACGAGGCCATCTTAGGCCGTCTTGGGTGCATTGTGGGACGTTTTGAGACATCTTGCGGCCATCTTTGACTCGCTTGGGGGCACCCTGGCCGGCTTGAATGTCATCTTGAGCGTCTGGGAGGCCTCTTGGGCTGTCTTTTGGCCCTCTTGGCACATCGGGCGCGTTTCGGGCCGTCTCAGATGCATCTTGGGGCCATCTCGGGCTCTCTTGGGGCCATCTTGGCCGTCTTGGGGGCCATCTTGGGCCATCGCTGAGCGGGAAAGGGGTTGAAAGGCATTGACCAGAAGATTTTGAGGAGCTTTCCAGGTGGCCAGCGCGTTGGGCAGAAGCCCCAGGGCCCTTTCGGGGCTCTCGTGGATCAGATATCGGGGGCGTCAAAGAGGGGGGTGATGACTAGGGGGGGGGATATCATGGCGGGGGCCATGATATTTCCCCAGATTTCATGGCGCCTCGTCAGATTCCAATACGTCCCTGGCCCCCCCACTGGGCCGCGCACATGCCGCCGGTCATGATTTGCACCCCCCCCTCTTGGACGCCCCCCTCGTGGCCGACCCCGAAGGTACAGCCAAGCGAGAACATACGGGGACAGGCGACGCGCCCCAGGAAATTTGAGAACTTGAGGGCTGGGCCTCCTGATCCTCGTTCGCAGAAGACGGGACGAGTGCTTCCAGGGGGCCCGAGGACGCTCCAACTCGTGCCTCAGGGCACGGTGGCGGGTGCGGGTTTCTGATTGATTGGCGTGTTGATCCGGGCACCTGGTGCCCACCCGTCGCCGCGCCGGCGCCTCCCCGTGCTTACCGTGCGCTGGGCTCCGGTGGCTGGCTGCTCTGGGTTTTCGAAGTTCGCCTGCTGCCCGCCGGTTGCCGCCTCTCATGGCGCCAACAGCGCAGAGCGGACTTCGTCTGGAAAGCGATAGGATGGGCCGGGAGTGTCCTGGAGAATTCCGTTCCGGATTTCGAGGTGATTTTTTTTGGTCAGGAATGGAGACTCGAAACAATCCACGCGAAATTCGTTTCGTTTTTCAGTCGCCGTTTCGGGGCTGCAGCACGTCTGCGAGGTCGGTGCAGTGACGTCGGGGGTGGATAGACCTCCTATCCTGACACGTCGATTAAGGAATTGGCCGTTTTTGGCTCGCGAGAGGGCGTCACGGCCGTCATTTTTGCGGGTCCAGGTCCGTCGGTTTCGGTCCCAGGCCGTTTTCACTAAAGGGAGGTTTACTAAGGAGAGGTTTGTCCACCGCCGGTGACGCCTCGTCGCCGCCCCTTGCGCTGGCCGCGGTGCCTGGCGTTGGGCCGGTGCCGGCCCGTGGTTGTTCGTGCGCTGGCGGGCGGCTCCAGTGCTTCGCCTGGTGCCCGCCCGTCGACGCCTCGTGCGATGGCTTGCGGTTCGGGATGTGCACCCAGGTGCAACCACCTGCACGCGGTATCGTTTCGCCGATCCCCATCCCCATCCCCAAGGGCGCCCTCGAGGGCGCGAAGTTATTCTCGCTTCGCGCTTCGCGGTTCGGCTCTGATTCCTCCTCATCCTCCTCTTTTCCCTTGGGAGGCGGCGCGAGAGCGTGAAGTTATTCGCACTTCGCGCAGCGCGAAGCGCGAAGTTAGGAGCCCTTGGATGGCTTGCGGCTCGGGATCCGCACCCAGGTGCAACCACCTGCACGCGGTATCGTTTAGCCGATCCCCATCCCCATCCCCATCCCCATCCCCTTCGAGACCCCAACCAAGTTGCCACCCCAGTCGGGGATACACCCCTCGAGGCCCGAAGGGAGCGGCCCATATTCGCTTCTAGAGGGGTAAATCGGCCAGTGGGGCCCAGGCCACGCCGCTGGGGATGGGGATCGTCGGTTCAACGATACTCATCGTGCAATGGCTTGCGGTTCAGGATGCACACCTAGATTCAACCACCTGCACCGCATATATATTGTTTCACGTAGAGCGCGCCACACGGATTGGGTTGCAGAGCTTGCACCATTAGTATTGCAACCCATAACGTAGACTGCACTTCATACATTGCGCCGCATGTCTTGCACCACAGAACTTGCACCACATCGATTGCCCCCCCCCCCACCAGTTTTCACCGCATATGGTTCGCACCACAGTTTGCACCATAGAGCTTGCACCACATATAGCACCACATGGAATGCTCGCCACACAGTTACGCTACATAGGGTACATAATGGGAGTGCAAGTACCCACTGCTTGGGGTCCACGCTGGCAAACTTCAGGTGGACCAGACTCGAGGTGAAAGGTGTCGAAGCGAGACTGTGCAATTACAGAATATGCCAGCTCAACGTAGTTTCTCGCGCATTGGAAGCTGCAACAAGTTGGTCCGTTGTGGCTTCTCACGCCTGTCAGCCTAAGTGTTTACAGCCTTACCGTAGCTCTCACTTTCGTGGCTGACTTGCTTCCGTCCTTTATACGCTCAGGTCTGTTTGGATCGACTGTGAAACGGTGCGCCAGTTGGAGCCCGGGTTGTCGACGTCCTTCCCAGGAATGCCCCCACCCCCTCACACACGCCCGAGTGTTGTGACGTGCTTGGCATGCCTCCAACAGGACTTCGAGAGGGACCCGTTGAGCAGCTTCAGCGGTCACTACTCCAGATACAATGGAAGGGAGGGCGCCTCAGGGAAAAAGGGAGGAGCGTGGAGGAAGGACTGGGGAACCTAGAACGAGGACGAGAACGAGGATGCGAAGAGCGGAGCGGCAAGAGAAGGAAGAAGGACAGGAGGCATGGAGGAGGGCGGAGGCCAGGAGGGAGGACGAGGTGTCAGGAGTGCTCCCAGGCCGCGCAACGCGACATTGCTGCTCTTTCCTGTCCCGAGGCTGCAGCCAAAACGCATATCATGTGCACACTGCGTGCGCATGCCGTACCATGTGCTACATGCGCTGGCTCGCCGCGCAAGTTTGGCAGTGCAGCAGGTGGTGAGAAATGGCGAGGTCCGACTTCTCTCCTAGCTTTTTTTTCTCGCTCTCTCTCTCTCTATCTCCCTCTCTCTCCTCCCGTCTCCTGCCCTCTCTCGCATCTCTCTCTCTCTCTCTCTATGGATCTCTCCGCCTCTCTCTCTCTCTGTCCCTCTCACCTCTCCCGGCATACCCATCACGTCCGTCCTTGAGCCCCTCTCAATTTTGCCCCCTCTCAACCCTGCCCCCTCTGCCAGATGGAGAACCGGCCCTCCATCCTGCCCCCTCTCCATCCTGCCCCCTCTCCATCCTGCCCCCTCCACCAGATGGAGAACCGGCCTGCCGCCGCCATCGCCCAGGCAGGGCGGCGGCAGGCTCCCGCCGCGCCGGCGCGGCGGCGAAGACCGGCGCGGGCGGCCGAGGCCGAGCGTTGCAGATGGCTTTTTTTGACCAGGGGGACGAAAAGTGACATAAACATAAAACTCGGAGGTCCGCGCGGACCTTTCGGATCGGCGCTGGGGGCCCCCCGGCGGCGGCTCCGGCGCCGCCCCTGGCGCGCTCCGCGCGCCAGGGAGGGGGGTCCAGCGCCGATCCGAGAAATCCGCGCGGACCTCTGAGTTTTTATGTTTATGTAACTTTTTGTCCCCCTGTTGACACCCTCTGGGCCACAACGCGCGTTCTGCCCCCCCCCCCCCGCATAAAGGAACGCTCCCCCCTCAGTGCGTCCCCGCCTCTGCCGCAGTGCGTCTGGCACGAACGTCTGGGGGGCGGGGGTGGGCAGGGGCTACGTTATGCCCCCTCCCCTCTCCACCCCCACCTCCACCCATATCGCCCGTTATGGCCGCGAATAAAAAATGCACTCAAATGATCTGCGCTATCAGAATACTGCGATCACTCAAGGCTGAACGATGCACGAGGTGTCGGAACCTGCCGTGCAGGATTTGCAGATTTTTGCGGGATGCGGGCCCGCGCTGCGCGCCGCGGGAGCGCAGACTGCCGGCAGGTTCGCGCCGCGTCTGCACGGCGGAAGCGCCTGCGCGCGCGTCCAATGTTGAGCGCCGCCAGAGGCTCAGAATCGGCCGATACCGAACGATGTGTACTAGAAATAAGTTTCTCGGAACTGCACGGCGCACGCGGCTCCCGACGTCAGCGCCGGCGCCACCCCGACGCGAGCCTTCCGTAGCATTGGGGGCGTGCTGGGCGGGAAGACGGCCACGGTCATCACGGTGGAGGACTGGGATCCAGACGAGGGATTCCCGACAGAGGTGCGCCGCTGCGGCCGCTTCCCGCCGCATGGAGGGAGGAGGAGGAGGAGGAGGAGGAGGAGGAGGAGGAGGAGGAGAAGGCCGTATGCGGGATCCATCTCCCGCACTCGGATCCCCGGCGCCGCGGGGCCGGCCTCGGCCCGCACGGCTTGCCGCCGCGCGATTGCTGAGCGTAGACCGCGGGCGCCGGCAATCTATGACGAGAAGGGCTACGAGGCCAGACCCAGCCGCTGGAGGCCAAGAGCAGTTCGCGCTGCAGCGCGTAGGTTGGGCTACGCTGCGCGGACATGCGGCTACACTGTTCAGAAGGACGTCGATTTGGGTGATGCAGCGCGTAACAGTACGACGTCAAGAAGCACAACGTCAACAAGTACGATATCAAAGCGTACAACAAGTACGGCAGCAATGGCGGCAACGACAAGGCTGAACAGCCCGAAGCGCTGACCAAGTGTAGCGTCGTGGAAATACCATTGATCGACGTGCACGCCGCCTAGGACGACTACGACCTCGTCGCCTATAACGGCTACGGTGAGTACAACGGCTACGACGAATGCGCCGCATACGTTGCTGTCACCTTGCCACCATAGCTACTTGGGCCTCATGCAGAGCTACGGGAACCACCAACACTACCAGGGGAACCTGCTGCGCGACGAGGGTTACCAGCAGAGCTACGAGGGTAAGATGCAGAGCTTCGAGAACCACCCGCTGAGCTACGAGGGCCACCAGCAGAGCTTTGAGGGCCACCAGTTTTGATACGAGGGCCACCGGCAGAGCTTGGAGAGCCATCAGCTGAGCGTCGAGGGCCACCATTTGTGGCACCAATGTCACATGCCGAGCTACAGGAGCCTCCAGAAGAGCTACGAAGGCCACTGCGAGAGCCACACGCTGAACTACGAGGGCCCCGAGCAGGGCTACAAGGACCACGACCAGAGCTACAAGAGCCACCGCTAGAGCTACCAGGGCTATGTTCTGAGATATCAGGATTTTCAGCAGGCGGGCCGCCAGCTGAACTTCGAGGAGCAAAAGCACGGATACAGTGGCCACGAGCACGGCAACGACACCTCTAGCTGAGCCGCGAGAGACATCAGGAGAGGTACCAGGGCCACCTGCTGAGTTACACGAGCCACAAGTAAAGCTACGAGGGGCTACGAGGACTACGGTCTCAACTGCGAGGACCACGAGCTGAGCTACAATGCCCACCAGCGAAGCCATTTCTGAGCTACCGTTGGGCGCTCCAGCAGGCCTACGAGGGCCACCAGCTATAGTACGAGGAGCACAAGGACAGCCACGATGGCCACACGCACGGCTACGAGGACCTCCAGCTGTTCCATGAGAGACACCAGGGGAGACACTATGACCATCTGCTGAGCTAAAGGAATCACCAGCAAATCTACGAAGGCCACCGGCTAAGCTACGAGGATCACAGTTTGAATTCCGAGGACCACATAGTGAATTACAAGAGGCACCAGCAGAGGAGCTACAAGGCCAACCGGCTGAGCCAGGAGGACCACAGACTGAACTACGAGGACCACGAGCAGGGCAGGACCGTGGCCTGATCTACGGGTGCCAGTGGCGGAGGTACCGGGCCACCTGCTGAGCCACCAAAGTTTCCAACGCACCTACGAAGGCCACCAGCTGCATTACGAGGACCACAGGCGCAGCTTCGAGGGACCCAAGCACGGTCACGAGGACCTCCAGCTGAGCTGCGACGACCACCAGGAGGCGCCGGGCTGCAGCCTGACAGAGCTGGGCTGCAGCAGGAAGCCAGCTCGGCCCTGGCGATTGTCCCTGGCGTGGCCGTGCGCCTCGTCGGTTTGAAGGCTCGAACGCTACCCGACGGGCGGGAGGGTGCACTCGGGCCCTGTGATGAGGCAGCCGGCCGCTAGGTATGCAAGGCGGGGTCGGAGTACATCCGCGTCAGGACAGCCCGCTTGGAACCCGCCGGTCCCACCACCATGCAAGCGCTCGGGCGCGCGTTCCGGCAGGCGGCTCGCAAGTACAATTGCCAGGGCCGATGCTCATCGACCGACACGATCTCCCAAAAATGTGCGATTTGGCAGCCGCCGAACGGCAGCCTGGCGTAGTCGCCCACTTTGAGTTCGTTCTCGGCAACAAGCCGGCCTTCGACATCGCTTGCAGCCATGCCACGCAAGGCGAGACCGCCCTGCCGGAAGCCTGAGCAACCTGTGGATTTCAGCGATGCGGACGGGGGCGTACGAGTGCATCGCAACACGCAAGATACGCCGCTCGCCACTTGCCCTTCTTTCCTCTACGGTCGTCAGGGCGCGCGATGGACAGGTGCCCCCCCTCGCCCCTCTCTCTCTCAGCAGGAGACGGAGTCTCCCAAAGGTCCAGGGCTGGCCCGCGCCCCCCGCCCGCGTCGCGCCCGCGGCGCGCGAGGCGTCGGTGCGGATGAAGGATCGCTGCGCGGCGTTGCGAAAGAAGAGAAAAAGGAGGGGGAGGCAGAGGAGGGGGGGAGGAGGCGGAGGGGGCGGAGGATGCGGAAATGGCGAAGAAGGCGGAGGATGGGGAAAAGGAGGTGGAAGTCCGTCGCCAGTGTGGATGAAGCCATTTGGTTCAAGGGGCCTCCCCTGAACGATTCGACCTCTCGCAAGGGGATCTGCCGCGGTTGGGGGCCGATCGTTCCCACAGGTGTCCCGTCGGCGCAGCCCACGGGCTGGTCCGATTGCGATGTTGTGGTTGTCGCAAAAACGTGCGGTATTGGACGCGGTGCAAACGCCGCCGCGCACTGGCGCCGTCGTCTCGAGATGCAGGCAATGCCAAGTCATCCATGTTTTTGGAATTCCAGTTGGACAATTTCACCGCAGTCCATGAGCATTTACAGGGGGCAGCAGGAGGAGGAGGAGGAGGAGAAGGAGGAGGAGGAGGAGGAGGAAAAGGAGGATGAGCAGGGGGAGGAGGAGGAGGGGGAGGAGGAGAAGGAGGAGGAGGAGGAGGAGGAGGAAGAGGAGGAGGAGGAATGGGAGGAGGAGGAGCGGGAGGAGGAGGAGGAGGCGGCACAGAAGGAGACTGGGAAAGCAACCTGTAGCAGGGGCCCATGTATAAGGATGAGGGGAATATGGTCCTGACCCCTCGTTCATTCTAAATATAAGTTCGTATCATCCCAGCTTAACCGGCATCGCCCCCCCCCCCCCCCCGGATCCTCTGCAAATCATACTAAGCGCACGTTCGTCCATCACAAGTCATGAGTTGTCAAGCGCCCTTTGCAAAGCAAAACAAAGTGGCGCACGCGCGTGCCATCGCGCGCGCATGCCGAAATCGCTTGAACAACTTAGGTGTCGCAGGGATTTCAAAATCGAGTGCCAGATAAGTTACAATTAGCCTGGCGAAGGACCCAGCCATATGCAGTTGTGAACACCGTCGTTGTATGCACCGCATTCAGAGGAGCTCCCTATGGGGCCACGGAACGTGTGAGGGGTGTGCCCAAACTTTCGCGGTGGGCGCGTGCGAAAGCAGCCATTGGGGCCGTCGGTGGAGCTTTGCATGGGGCCGCGAAGCGTGTGAGGGGTGTGCCGAAATGGGTGTGGGTGACGCATGTGAACGCAGCCACTGGCGCATTCGCTTGGCATCGCTCGGACGTGTGCATTTTTCCTTCGGCGAGGACCATCGAGGAGCATCCTTGATCATTTCGCGAAAAAACCACGCACGAAATGGAAAAAAACACAGGGAATGGACGTCCGAACGATGGCCAGTTCGGTGGAGCTCCAGATGGGCCACGAAACGTGAGAGGGGTGTGCCGAAATGGGTGTGGGTGGCGCAGGCGGGCGGTGGCACTGGGGCCTTCGTTGTAGCTCCATATCGGGTCACGAAGCGTGTGAGGGGTCTGCCGACATGGGCGTGGGTGACGCATGCGGGCGGTGCCATTGGGGCCTTCGGTTGGGTTCCCTAAGGGGGCCACGGAACGTGTGAGGGGTGTTCCGAAATGGGTGTGGGCGAGGGATGTGGGCGGTGGCATTGGGGTCTTCGATGGGGCTACCTATGAGGTCACGAAACGTGTGATGGTTTTGCTGAAATGGGTATGAGTGACGCATGCGGGCGGTGGCATAAGGGCCTTGGGTGGGGCCACGAAGCGTTTGAGGGGTGTGACGAAATGGGTGTGGGTGAAGCATGTGGGCGGTGGCACTGGGGCCTCCGGTGGAGCTCGCTATGGGGCCACGGATCGTGTGAGAGGTGTGCCGAAATGGGTGTGGGTGGCGCATGCGGGCGGTGGCACTGGGGCTTTCGGTGGCCACGAAACGTGTGATGGGTTTGCCGACACGGGTGTGGGTGACGCATGCTGGCGGTGGCTTTGATGCCTTCGATGGAGTTCCCTATGGGGCCACGAAACGTGTGAGGGGTGTGCCGAATTGGGTGTGGGTGACGACGCATGCGGGCGGTGGCATTGGGGCCTTCGGTGGGGCTCCCTATAGGGCCACGAAACGCGTGAAGAGTGTGCCGAAATGAGTGTGGGTGACGTATGCGGGCGGTGACGTAGGGGTCTTGGATGGATCTCCCTATCGGGCCACGATGCGTGTGAGGGGTGTGCCGAAATCAGCGTGGGTGGCGCATGCGGGCGGTTACATAAGGGCCTTGGGTGGATCTCCCTATGGGGCCACGAAGCGTGTGAGTGTGCCGAAATGAGCGTGGGTGACGCATGCGGGCGGTGGCACTGGGGCTTTCGGTGGAGCTCCCTATTGGGGCCACGAAACGTGTGATGGGTTTGCCGACACGGGTGTGGGTGACGCATGCGGGCGGTGGCACTGGGGCCTTCGGTGGCGCTCCGTATTGGGCCGCGCACCATGTGAGGGGTTTGCCGAAATGAGTGCGGGTGACGCATGCGGGCGGTAGCACTGGAGCTTTCTGCGGAGATCCCTAAGGGGCCACGAAACGTGTGAGGGGTGTGCTGAAACGGGTGATGCCGATGATGATGATGCTGATGATGATGATGATGATGATGATGATGATGATGATGACGATGATGATGATGATGATGATGATGA